TTTTCAGTTACTTCTGACACAGATGATCTTCTGTGCCATGATGTTAAACTGTCCAGCATCTTCTCTCTGTCTCCCTCTGCCTCTCTTCACCTCTAACTTTTCAACTGTCGCAATGTACTCCATTTTTTTCTGCTTCTTATTATTTGACCCTAACAATGTAGATTGTCTCCTTCTGATATGGGTAATCAGTTCTCTTCATAAGTTAATTTCTGTTAAGAAGCATTCTTGAAATCCGTCCAGGTGTTCTCATTATCTTCTTATTTTCTCTACTCCTGGAATGCCTCACTGCGTCAGAGCAGGAAGAGATCTCTGGAATGGGCCCTTCTGTTTGTTTCATGTAAAGTACTTTTCAATGTCTCTGATATTTATGCGGTCCATATTCTGCGTGGTCGACCTCTGAGTGTGTTACCACTGTATCTGTATAATATTACTCTTTGTGGTTCCCTGTCTGATGCCAATCTTGTTACATGGCCAAACCGTTTCATTAGTTGTCTACCTATTAAGTTCAGTATTGGTTCTGTGCTGACTTTCCTTCTGATATCATCGTTCCTTAGTTGAGTTTTCCCCGTTACACCTAGCGTAGTATGTAAACATTTCATTTCTGTCATCGCTATTTTCCTTCTGTCTTCTGATGACAATTTCCATGTTTGACATTGATAGTATAGGGTTGGTAAGAATATTTTGTTGAACAGTGTCTTTTTTAGTGTTCATATTTACATGCTTGCATTTCAAAATTGGTGCCATTGGGCTTAGAACTTAATTTGGCTTTATTGTATCTTTGCTGGGTTCTCATCATTCACACACACACACACACACCCCCCCCCCCCCCTAATTTTTTACACCTGGGAAACTATTTGATGCATTCTAATCTGTAATTCTGCACCTGAGATAGTGTTTCTATTCTCAGGCTTCGATTGATCACTGATAAGACCAACCAACCAATTATACAAGAGTACTAGCTTCTGTTCAATGGCTACAGCTGTCATTGGTTTCATTATGGTTAGCGTATTTTTCATTTTTGAACAATATGATCAACCAGATTGAAAAAAAAAAAGGTTGTGATCACATGTCACTTTAAAAGACCCTTATCTCGTCATCATCATCAGGGTATTTTTATTTCCAGAAAAAAAAAATTATTTAAAAAAAGAAAAAGAAAAAAAAAGCTGCCACTACTCACCATAAAGTTCAAAGGCAGGGAGTTCATTAAAATATGATGCCTAAAAAGGGTGCTAGTACTGTCTACCATGCATTCCGCCAGAAGAATAAAAAAAAAAAAAAGACAACAACCTGATCATCATTGTCCTCAACATCATCATTATGTATCATGTCAGTATCATAGATGGTCATTGTTCACTATCTCACATCATCATCATGTACCATGTCAGTATCATAGATGTTCATTGTTCACTATCTCACATCATCATCATGTACCATGTCAGTATCATAGATGTTCATTGTTCACTATCTCACATCATCATTATGTATCATGTCAGTATCATAGATGGTCATTGTTTACTATCTCACATCATCATCATGTACCATGTCAGTATCATTGATAGTCATTGTTCAGTATCTCACATCATCATCATGTACCATGTCAGTATCATAGATGGTCATTGTTCACTATCTCACATCATCATCATGTACCATGTCAGTATCATAGATGTTCATTGTTCACTATCTCACATCATCATCATGTACCATGTCAGTATCATAGATGGTCATTGTTCACTTTCTCACATCATCATCATGTACCATGTCAGTATCATAGATGGTCATTGTTCACTATCTCACATCATCATCATGTACCATGTCAGTATCATAGATGGTCATTGTTCACTATCTCACATCATCATCATGTACCATGTCAGTATCATAGATGTTCTTTGTTCACTATCTCACATCATCATCATGTGCCATGTCAGTATTATAGATAGTCATTGTTCAGTATCTCACATCATCATTATGTACCATGTCAGTATCATAGATGTTCATTGTTCACTATCTCACATCATCATCATGTACCATGTCAGTATCATAGATGTTCATTGTTCACTATCTCACATCATCATTATGTATCATGTCAGTATCATAGATGGTCATTGTTTACTATCTCACATCATCATCATGTACCATGTCAGTATCATTGATAGTCATTGTTCAGTATCTCACATCATCATCATGTACCATGTCAGTATCATAGATGGTCATTGTTCACTATCTCACATCATCATCATGTACCATGTCAGTATCATAGATGGTCATTGTTCACTATCTCACATCATCATCATGTACCATGTCAGTATCATAGATGGTCATTGTTCACTATCTCACATCATCATCATGTACCATGTCAGTATCATAGATGGTCATTGTTCACTATCTCACATCATCATCATGTACCATGTCAGTATCATAGATGTTCTTTGTTCACTATCTCACATCATCATCATGTGCCATGTCAGTATTATAGATAGTCATTGTTCAGTATCTCACATCATCATTATGTACCATGTCAGTATCATAGATGTTCATTGTTCACTATCTCACATCATCATCAGTTGCAGAGTAAAAGTAAAAAAAAAAAAAAAAGGAAAGATTCCTTTACACGCCTTTGGGCGCATAGGGCATGTGGAAAGAGCACCCATATTTTTACAGACCAATCGGCACTCGGTGGGTAATGTGGTCAACATTACGCCGGCTGTCTTTACTTCCCCAGGACAGCCATCCTGGTACCCATTTGAGGCTGGGTCGACCTGCGACATCAGTTGCAGATCAGCTCCTTATTTGAGTTCTGCATCATGTCGTATGGCCAAACCATTCAGGTTTTTATCCTTTTGCTTTCACACTGCACTTTATTCCCACACAATTTACTAGTTGTTACATTTTCAGAGTCTTCATTTCATAATAAATCCAAAAAATCTTGGCATTTTGTATCTAGTAAAAGTAAGTAATAGTAAAGATCCCTCTTCATGCCTTCAGGCACATCAGGTATATATAGGAAGAGCACCCAGACTTTTACAGACCATTCAGCACTAGGTGGGTAATGTGGTCAGCATTACGCCGGCCGTCTTTACTTCCCCAGGACATACATTCTGGTACCCATTTTAGGCTGGGTCAACCTGCGATGCCCCATACCATGATAAAAATCCACGCAGCCAGCAGTAAGTTTCGATCGCGGTACGTTGGAATTACGAGTGGGACTCGCAACACCTAAGCCACAGACGCTGCATTTTGTATCTCCTCTCCTTTGACAATTGATAGATGTTAATGTTTCTTAAAGAACCTCTTTAGATTTGTTTTGATAATGGAGTCATAAATATAACATCATGTGGCGAAGTGGTCAAGCCATTTGCCTTGTGCTCTGAAGGTCATGGGTTCATTTCCCAGCTGCGTCATTCAGTTCACGAGTTGGTTTTGTTTGGTTTATTTAACGGATCGACATCATGGCACAAGGGTAGTAACCCATAAGTGCTCCATTCTACTTTTAACTCAAGCCTGAGTCTGAAGAATCTCAGCACTGTGCACGAACTCCGTAGCACAGCGAGGATCCTGAAATACTTTGGATCGATTTTTAGCGCCATTAGGCTAGTCTTTTCGATTTCCAACTGCAAAGGGATGTTTTACCTGCGCAGAAATACACACAGCATCCGATCTTACTACCCAGAGACCAGGGGAAATTACTAGAAGTCCACAAGAAAAAAATCTTAACCTTCACCGGGGCGTGAACCTGGGACCTCCAACACTCAAGGTGGACAGGAGATCCCATGGGATTGTCGCCCAAGCTTAAAGAGTTCCTTATTTGTCTGATGCTCTGGGCAGACGGCTAGCCATTCTATGATGAAGACTGAGCCATATGGAATAAGACCCAGTGCAGTGATCTCAATCTTCTTAACTTTAACTTTTCATACAATTTCATACTGGCTTTACTAGTGATACTTTAGAGCCAGATTCTGAACATGTTGGTGAGAATTAGTTTGTAATGTTTCTGCAGACTGATATCTATCAGAATCGGTCTTGTATAATGGAATATCAACAAAATGTTTATCACTGTCAGAGGGAAGGAAAGCTATTCATTCTTTCCTCTGTATAAATCAATTGATTAATTCTCTTACATACAAATTTGTGGTAATAACAAGTAACAGGAATTATTTTAGTTATTTGATGGCAGCGATACAGTTGTGGACTTACCTGTCTGCTCGGTGGTCTAGGGTTTTGACCACCTAGATGGGTATACAAACTGACCAAGACTCAAAATCTCTTTTACTGCTTCTCTTCCTCTAGTTTTCTGGTTGGAGTTTCAGAATACTATAACGAAGCATTTCTTTGTAATAAAATGTGAAAAAAGATACTTTTTTTTAAAAAACAGATATTTATGGTGCAAAAGAGTTAAATAATGTTTTGTTGTTTATTAGTCTTTTAGTTATTCTTCATGTTTCACCTCTGTACAACAGTGCTGATATGATATTACATCAGAATAATGAGTTTGATGATATATAAATAGTTTAGTATAGACAGAATACGAAATCACGAAATTAGACGAAAGCTAGGAATAAAGCCAGTCTTACAGGTCATCAAAGAACAACAAATGAATTGGTTTGGACACCTCACAAGAATGCCCTGGTACTATCTGCCACAGCGAGCCACACTAAAACGTTACAACGGGTATAGAGCGAGTGGAAGACCTCGGAAAATATATAGTGATGGAATTAAGAGCAGCCTTACAGAAATAAACATCAGTCTTAATAGTGCTTTGACAGAGCTCATCAACGAATGTTACATCTCCCCCCGACACTTCGATGAGGTACAAGGTGGAAGAGAAGAAGAAGAAGAAGTATAGAAATTGTATACACAGTTCTAATTTGGAGAACGAAGCACTTATGGGTTACTACCCTTGTGTCATGATGTTGATCTGTTGTTTAAACCTAAACCTAAGTTTTGTAGGCATACTCTGACAAACCTTTCAGTTTGAAACATGTTTGGTGTTCTTCTATCAACAGTTCTACCCTCGTGACTATGAATGTGTGTCAAGTTTGACAACCTTCGAACACTTGGTCTACCTGTGTGAGAACAGTGCCATTCCTAGCCCTGATGTGGTCGTCTCCAGACAGTCCAGGTAATGTAGCTCTCCTGTTTTTATAGTTAAGCCATACAATCTATTTTCCTTTGGGTTTCAGAGCCCCAGTTTTGGGAGGAAAAAAAGAAGATCAACTGCCCTTTAACAAGGCAACTAATTAAGGGATTGGTGAAATCAGATATGTTAGGCTGAAAGACAGAGATATCACAACCTAGCTATAAATCACAGTACAGTAGGTCAGATGCCTTTTTTAAAAACAAACACAGAACAGAAGAAACTTAAATTTTTTAAAGACATGTCTGTGTCTTACTGGTTATGAATGCAGTTTTGTGATTTGGGCATACCAGGTTCAGTTCATCTTTAATCATTTTGTTGATTTCAATAATGATTTGGGCGTCGAACCATCCAGAAATCAATAAAAAAAAAAAAAAAAACTAATGTACATCAGAATTGCTTATTGAAAACACAAAACAACCAACAAATGCTGTGGGTTGTTTGCAAACTCAGTAATAGGACATAGCTGTCACCATCATTTTTAACTTTATCACAGTTATTACAGTCTTTCTGAGTGATCATCATTTCTGTATTGTTCATCATCATCATCAAGGGCACCACCACCATCATTATTATTATCATCACCATCACCACCACCATCATCACCACCACCACCATCATTATCATCACGGTCACCACCACCATCATTATCATAATCATCATCATCGTCATCATCATTATCCTCATTCCTGTCTTTGCCATAATTACATCAACCATTATAATCTCCTCATCAGCAAAAATCTATTATACATCTGTCTCGGCATAGGTGATGAACAAGACTCTGTGCTTAGATCTTCACAATTTGTATTGTAGTATTGCTGTTGTTGACTCTTAACAGTGGAACTGGAAAGGAGGATTCAGTGACAAATATACAAATTTGCAGGATATCAAGAGCCTCTGTTGGTAGTGCTAAAATGTCACCAGCAGGTTTGGTTCTGGCACATGGCAAGACATAATTTGATTGCAAAGACTAGACTTCAAGGAACATTAGCGGTGGGTAGTTGAAGGAAAAGGGAGGATAGGGGGAGGGTTAGCAGTAAGAACCTGGAATGACAACATCAAGAAATGGACAGGACCAAATTATTACACACTTGTTCAACAAGTGGAAGACAGAGAACAGTAGTGGGTTTTATTTGTTAGTGCTTCCATAGATATACCTCCACAACACTAATGTGTCAAGGGTTCTGTTAACTATTGTAGACCAAAATTGTGTTCTCTAGCAAATTCTCAGCAGTATTGTAGGTCATGTTCTGAAGTTTACTTTTTGTGTGTATGTGTGCGTGCATTATCATTGACAAAGTCATCATAATAATTTTATTATTACATCATCATTCATTAAACTGTCCTTATCATCACCATAATAGAGTCAATTTATGAAAAATATGATTACCAAACATGAGTATTTCAGTTCAGACATTAGGAATTAAAGGTGATAGGATCGACTTTATTGCATAAGGTTTTATCCAGTCTGGTTTAATCTCTCCCTGTGGGGTTGAAAGTATTGCCGAGAGCACATATTTCTTAACTAAAAATGGTGACTCCCACTCATGAGCTGAATGATATATACTGAAAATTACCCTATGAATATTCAAAGCACTAAAACACAGATTGTCCACTTTGCTTTGGAGACATCACCCCCTCACCCCCCCCCCCCCCCCCCCCACCCCTTTTTCTTTCCAATCAGGCAATCTACATATAATGTTGTACTTCTTCATTGACAGTTGCAGATATATTAAGGGCGCAGAAACAACTGATTTTCAGAGAGTTGCTCACAGATTAAAAGGGATATATTTATCAATTCTAACTGAAATATCTTGGCCATATCAAAACATTATTAATGTACCAAGGTATATAACTGGACATTCCCAAGATAACAGTTATCACAGTGAACCTAACAAACAAGGTGTCAGGGTGTAAATGTCAAAGACGCAGCAAACATATTCCAAGCTGGGTATTTGAATATTTAGCCAGATTTCTGTTGTATGGTTAGGCTAAACATCAGCCATGTCTTTTATTGTTTGGTACACTTGAACAGTACCCGATCACACTTGGCACGCTGTTTGGACCTAAAAGAGGTAAAAGACATAACACTCATTGAAGGGGAAGTGTTGACAGAGGTGGACAGCAATACCAGTGTGAGAAGAATACCAAGAGATGGACAAACAACAGTCTCAGAGACCCAGTCTGAAAGACATAGCAAGCTGGAGTTCCACTGTAGCCAGCCTTCATTGTGAAGATGTCACTTAATTGATTCATTGCTTATTATTTTTAAATTGGTCTTATTTTTTGGGTGCTAAAGATGTGTGACCTAATCTTAACACAGTTTTGGTACATCTGACAGCTGCCTTATGCATTTTTACTTTGCGTGTGCAAGCTTCAAGATTTTGCTGTGACTGACAGGTTCTCTAGTTTTCAAATTGGTCAGTGGAAGACATTTTGTGTGATTTCCACTGGCACAAGAATGGAGCAGTTATGGGATCACCCGTCTGTAGTGATTTTGGAATCCTCACTAACTAATTAATGAACTTAACACAGTTTTCTGCTTAATTCACAGCCCACCATCGACTCCAGGAAATCGTTTCACTCGAAAGAAGGAAGAAGGATACCGTTCAGAGCCCACAGTCAACATCATCCCGTTTCCTTTTGACCTTCAATCACTTCTTCCTCGTAGTCAGCAAGCAGAGATATTGTTTTCAACTTTTGTGATTGGTGATGGTAACTTGTTTCCCTGTTTATTTAGCTGATAATAGTTCTCTTAGACTCTGGCAGATATGATTATTTAAACAATAATTATGTGTTATTATCTTCAGATATGTTGAAACAGATCTGATCTTCTTCTTCTTATTCCCTGATGAAGAATACCCTTCCCCCAACTTTCACCAGATTGTCCTATATTTTGCTAGTATGTGTAGCTCACCCATGCTGTTCACATCATTTTCAACTCTTTCCCTAATTCTCTGTGTATGCTTGGCATGACTTTACTTCTTTTTGACGGTGGGTTCCAGTACAGCGGCATTCTATATTTCTATCAAATTTTCTCTATGCATGTCCTTCCTATCCTAAGTCAGCTTCTTTTCCTCACTTCATTGTTCACTGGAATTTGTTTAGTTGTCTCCTACAGCTTCACACTAGTGGTTTTTTCATACCATTCCATTTCCTTGTTCTACAAAGCACCTGTTAAATTTTTTTAAAAGAATTAAATAAGAATTAATCATCAGCATCATTTTGTCATAGTCTCTGCTGTTTGGTGCAGTTATAATTTCCAAGACAAAATAAATACTTCAAACAGAAGTGGTTTATTCCTAGACTTAACTAACTTATCATGTATAGTAAATATTCCATTCTCAGCAAGTTTTTCATGTGAAGTGTGTAAGTAATATATTTGCACAAGAAATATCCATTACAGTAGAACCTCGATTAATAGATTTGTAATTGTCTGGACGTCATATCTGCCCTAGTTAAAAAAAAAAAAAAAGATTCTCAGTAATGAAATAAGGAATAATTTACTTTGCCAAGCTATTGCAAGTGTCACATTATTTTTTTTCTGCATTCAAGTTAGAGATTAGAAAATGTTTCTTAAAATGTGAACAATATTTTTATTTCCTTTTTTCATAATCAGTGTCAGTACACTACGCAAGAAACATTTATAAAGCACTGGTCTGTACTGAGAGGTCAGAAAATATGAATAAGATTGGGTTTTGGTATAAAAAAGATGTTTTTTCTCCTCAATAAAATGAGTGTGGTAAAAATTGAGTATTTTTAAAACTCGAGCATATGCAGCATTTTATTATCCAGCTAATTCTTTTGCCCCATTTGGCAGGATATTGCAGGCTACTGTATATTCTTCTGCTTATAGTTGTTGTGAAACAGGTTTTTGTTTTACTCACTGTGGTGGGGGTGCAGGTTTAAATTCTCCCTCCTGATCCAGTGAGAAGCCGAGACAGCTGTCTTTTGATGCAAAGTGCAGAGTCCATAGTTACTCAGATGCAGACTCTAATTGGATCTGGAAAGAAAGTGAGCTGCCTGAATATCCCCAGAAAAGGGAAAAGGGAATTTAGATATCTAGAGAACACTTACACTTGGACAGAGCAGATTACCCTTCCCGACAATTTCCTTTTCTGGTCATTACATTCAGCTCCCATCTAGAATAGGTATTTTGATATACAGCACTGAACTGACACCATACGCACATCTAGAAATACAATTAAACTTTAACTATGAATGCAAATCAATCATAGAAATGTTTATTAAAAATAAAGTTGATACCAATTGACTTTTTACTTTTGAAATACAATACTCAAACTAAATAGATTTCATGAAAGGTAAAAATGATAGTCACATGAAACTGTCATTGTGAGAGGGTTAATGTGAATTAACACACAACAATTACCACCTGGGGTTTGCCAAAGGATCATCTATTTGACTTTGAGGTGGAATTTCCCAGATGATCATCCCTTTGACATTTGAGGTGGAACATTGGATCTATCCCAGTCACCAAGACCTTCCTCAGGGCACTTCACTCATCACCTATGACCAGCCTGGCAGTGGTAGGAAAGCTCGTCCTGCCACAAGGAACAAGGAATCGGTCCTTGGCTTTTCAGCAGCTGGGGATGGAAACAATCAAAATGTATTGTCCCTAATTCTCTGCAAATTAAAATATATATTCCCAACTCTCCCCTCTCTCTTTCTCTGTTCATAGTGTCAGAAGTGGGATAATGGTCTCATAGCAAGGTCATTTACACAGCTTCCACTTCTCACTACTGTCCAGTCCAGATGAATGGTCTTCCATCTTCTGTCCTTCATGATGATTGTGTAATACTGCATATTCTCTCAAGCTTGCACAGCAATAAGCAGTTATAAATGAAGAACAAAATCGGATATAAAGCTGTAGCTTTATCTTTAAAAGTATTGATGGTTCTAGATTAAAATAGCAGCTTTTCCTGTATTCCAGGTGTTCCATTATGTGGTAAATTTCTGGTCGTGACCAACTTTTGTGGTGTTGACAGAACAGCTTCTGAATGTGTAGTTTTCTCTTATAGTATGTCAACATAACAGCATTTAATAAGGCTGTGTGTAAGTGAAATAATCATATGATTATCTGTCGTGAATAAAAAATAACTATTATTAGCTAAAACACAAGTACACATCATGAATTATAGATGTATGAACATGAGAAGAAAAACGTCTCCTATGAGATTTTACCACTGAATACACAAACCATGAGAAACAGCCATAGATTGTATATGTACCAGCAATAGAATATGGAGAATCTCCTAAGAGCCCTAGATACAGTCACTAGGAATAGCACTTTAGATACAGAACAAAAGGAGTGAGGAATAGCATCGTAAAGATCTAGTTCCTGACCCACATGTCAGCAGCCGAAATGAATCCTCATGGTCTTTTCACATTTCTGGTACAATTCTAACGTGGTATACAGCCTTGAAACAGAAATGACGATGTATGTAGTAACTTGTGCTCACCTGGATGTAGATGTAAGACTATGCAGTCTTAATGCTTGGGTTTAAGCTGCTTGAAAGACAGAATCTTGCCAAACTTGACTCGCCTCTTTCTGCTAGCAACCAGAAGTGAATGACAGCCATCCTGTCTACCAGCGGGATTTCCATTGGTGGCCAGGCTTTTGCCACAAAGTTGACAAATTTGCTAGTAGCAAATTCTGCAATCAAAAGCGATGACAGGCCGAAAAATTGTAAACTAGCAAAACTGGGAATTTTCCAGACAGCACCTGTATATCCTTAGGAATATCCCTCTGTGTCATATCTGGTAAGAATGATGTCACTCTTGACATAGCCAAGATGGAAAAATATAGAGTCAAAATGGGTGATCTGTAGTGCAAGGTGTCGTTGTTTACTTGAAGCAGCATTTTGCGACAATAGTCTATGCTATGTGGCACCAGTCATCGTTTTGACAGCATTCTTCTGTTTCATGTTCTGCCATTTCTCATACAAGATCTTTCTTCCTGCTTTGCGATTATCATCATCAAGTGCCTTGCCAACTGGTGTAGGCATTCATGCATCTCCACAGATCTTGGTCTTTGGTGTTTTGGATCAATTCACTCATGATGTTCCTCTATGTCCCTATCGCAATCCACCATAATTTCTCTTGGTCTGCCTCTGCCTCTTCTACCAGTGATCTTTTCAGTCGTCACCATTATTTTCGAGTGCTTCTTTTCTCATCACATAACTTACTCAAGGTTTCATCTCTCACGACATGCTCAAAGTGTGTAGACTTCTTCTGACATCTTCTGATGCAGTTCTCTTTATGAGTTGATTTCAAGACATTATCATTAATCTACTTATCTATCCATTCTGTGAAAACACCACTCTGTAATTTCCACATCATTTCTTGCTAAGCAGCGTCTGTGGCTTAGGCGTTGCCAACACGCTTCCCAATGCTGGGTTTGATCCCAGCTGCGACCCTTGCGCCTTGCGTTGGTTTCGACAGTGGCATCGTCCAGAAAGTAATGGCCAACATCTGGACGTGAAATTTTCCCAAAAAAAACCCCACAACAGCAAAGAATGCTGGGATTGGTTCTGCAAAATCCTGTAAAGGATACGCAACTAACTAACATTTTTTTTGTTCTTGCTAAGCCGCTGACTTTCAGGATTCACAGTAAATAATATCCATTTTGAAATGAGAAAACAGTATATATTCATTGATTCCCTGCAGGCAACACTTCCTCAGAAAATGTGGTGTTAGATCCAAAAGAGCCAAGTGAATTACTGCTGAGCCTCTTCTATGACAAGCTCAAGGAGGCACACAACAATGAGATCCTGCTTTCTGCTGATGACTGTTTCAGGTAAAGAGTATGTCTGCTCGCATTCTTCGGCACTAGTTATAACAAGTGGAAACTGTAAAGCAGTGGTCTCCAACTTTTTCCAGGTGGCGCCCACGCTGAGTATATGGCAAGACCCATCACACTTTTCCTCCCCAATATAACTTAATGTGATTAAAAAGAAGAGGACCGAACAGAAAAACTGAAGAACTTGGAGAAAGAAATGCACAAAATTCAAAGAGTCAAATAGCAAAGGAGACAGTCACCAACAACTGGTAATTTATTGTTCAGCTATCAGTGTGAAGGATGAAACTGTTTTGTCCTGATATCTACTATTTTTTGGGGTCTGATGTTGGACAAGGTATAACAGAGATCACTCTCCACATCAAGGTGGCGGCACTGTTTTGTTTTCGACTGTTAAAGCAGAAAATCTGGATTATTGCAAGTATAAATGCACTCAGTTTCAAAATTGTTCGACAGCCACCCCTTGAAACTTCTTGGCAGCAAAGCACCCCCCCCCCCCCCCCCCTTTTCCCCTCAATCCTCCCTCAGATTAGAGATCACTGCTGTGAAGTGATAAGAGAAATTACAGTCAAGATTTTCTGGACATGTTTTGGGCTCCAGAGCCCCAGGCATATGGGGGAGTGGGGGGGATAGACTCACTGCTCCCTAAGGTAACAAATCTTATTATTAACACAGATGAAGTTCACATTATTTTCTTTACAGATTTGTACAGCATGTGCTGCAGAGGCCAAGGGATGCAACAACAAATCCTGTTCCTTTTGCCTTTCGGCCTAGCGGAACAGCATCTGCTAGAGGCACTTTTGCTTTCGAGACAGGAACTTATTCTGTAAGTCATCACACATTAGGAGTCCAGATGAAGAGAGAGAGTGTAAAGGAAACAGTATGATATTGTGAGGCAAATGAGGGGTAGAGAAAACCATATTAGGAGGTTAATAAGTGGGGTAGCAAGAAAGATATAAATGGAATACTATGACACATTTGTGGCAAAAGTGTGGGGTGGAAATAAAAGTATAAATGGAACAACATAGCACATTAAGTGGTAAATGAGTGGGGTGTATAGAAAGATATAAATGGAATCACACATTAGGTGGTGAATGAGTGAGGTGTAGTCCTGTGCAATTGATAATATCCTGGATGGAGCCCAGTCCAGCACCTCTGGCCTCCCTCATTAGAATTTATTTTAGGGTTTCTTTTGAGCTGTTCTCACTATCTCAGTCCCTTTATTTCCCATTTTAGTGCCTGTTAGCTATTTTCTGTTTCATCTCAGTATTTTTCCAATATAGCACCATCTTCTTTGTCTTTTACGCTTTGTTACCAGTGGTTGCCTAGTCATTTCTTGCATCAAAGACTTAATTACTTACTGCATTTTGTTTCTTTGCTTTTAACTTGACTTGGTTGTGATTTAATAATTTGACAGTTCGTTTTTACAGTTGTGATGATGTATACAGCAGTGGCTGCAACAGAGTTGAAATCAAGAAGTAACTAAACATACAAAGAATCTATGACTAGGAAATCCAATGGAGGAAAAGGAAAACATGGACACAAATACAACCAAATGGGACCAGTCTTCATCAAGAGACAAACAACAGGCATTTATTAAATCAGCCAACAAGGTCAGCGTGGAATCTAAAATACAAAGATACAATATGGACAGGAGGAGCTATTACAAAATTAAACATACAAGAAAGAGACTTCAGATTTTTCACTTTATAATTACTAGCTATATTTTTTTTTGTTTTGTTTTTGTTTTGCTTTTAGCCTGCTTGTGATTTTGTACGTTGACTATTAATAATTTAAAGACCTTATTTCTCTGATTGTGTTGCCAGGAAACAGATCATGAGACTACTGATGCATCCACAGCAAGCAATAGAAAGAACTATAATTTTGGGCACCACAAAAAAGTCAGAGGTCATCCTAGCTATAAAGCAGGAAAGAAAGACTTTGATACCCCAAAATCAGATTCTGCTGCTCGACATTCCCACAGCAAGAAGTCCTCACCATCTAGTGAATCGGGGAATCCAGACAGTTATGCTTTCACCTCCCAACCAGGTGATAGTCTTGTGTGTTTGATATTCTTCTTCTTCTGCCTTGTAACCCCAATGGAGCATAGCCCCTTAACCAACTGACGCCAAGTCGTTCTAGCCTTTACTATCGCATGCAGGTCTCCCAACGTCCTCCCCATCTTTTTAACTTCACTCTCTAGCTCCCTTTTTTAACTTCACTCTCTAGCTCCCTTTTTTAACTTCACTCTCCAGCTCCCTTTTTAACTTCACTCTCTAGCTCCCTTTTTTAACTTCACTCTCTAGCTCCCTTTTTTAACTTCACTCTCTAGCTCCCTTTTTAACTTCACTCTCTAGCTCCCTTTTTTAACTTCACTCTCTAGCTTCCTTTTTAACTTCACTCTCTAGCTCCCTTTTTTAACTTCACTCTCTAGCTCCCTTTTTAACTTCACTCTCTAGCTCCCTTTTTAACTTCACTCTCTAGCTCCCTTTTTTAACTTCACTCTCTAGCTTCCTTTTTAACTTCACTCTCCAGCTCCCTTTTTAACTTCACTCTCTAGCTTCCTTTTTAACTTCACTCTCTAGCTTCCTTTTTAACTTCACTCTCTATCTTCCTTTTTAACTTCACTCTCCAGCTCCCTTTTTAACTTCACTCTCTAGCTTCCTTTTTAACTTCACTCTCTAGCTTCCTTTTTAACTTCACTCTCCAGCTCCCTTTTTAACTTCACTCTCTAGCTTCCTTTTTAACTTCACTCTCCAGCTCCCTTTTTAACTTCACTCTCTAGCTCCCTTTTTAACTTCACTCTCTAGCTCCCTTTTTAACTTCACTCTCTAGCTCCCTTTTTAACTTCACTCTCTAGCTCCCTTTTTTAACTTCACTCTCTAGCTCCCTTTTTAACTTCACTCTCTAGCTCCCTTTTTAACTTCTCTCTAGCTCCCTTTTTAACTTCTCTCTCTAGCTCCCTTTTTAACTTCACTCTCTAGCTCCCTTTTTAACTTCACTCTCTAGCTCCCTTTTTAACTTCACTCTCTAGCTCCCTTTTTAACTTCACTCTCTAGCTCCCTTTTTTAACTTCACTCTCTAGCTCCCTTTTTAACTTCACTCTCTAGCTCCCTTTTTTAACTTCACTCTCTAGCTCCCTTTTTAACTTCACTCTCTAGCTCCCTTTTTTAACTTCACTCTCTAGCTCCCTTTTTAACTTCACTCTCTAGCTCCCTTTTTTAACTTCACTCTCTAGCTCCCTTTTTAACTTCACTCTCTAGCTCCCTTTTTAACTTCTCTCTAGCTCCCTTTTTTAACTTCACTCTCTAGCTCCCTTTTTAACTTCACTCTCTAGCTCCCTTTTTAACTTCACTCTCTAGCTCCCTTTTTAACTTCACTCTCTAGCTCCCTTTTTAACTTCACTCTCTAGCTCCCTTTTTAAACTTCACTCTCTAGCTCCCTTTTTAACTTCACTCTCTAGCTCCCTTTTTAACTTCACTCTCCAGCTCCCTTTTTAACTTCACTCTCTAGCTCCCTTTTTAACTTCACTCTCTAGCTCCCGTTTTAACTTCACTCTCCAGCTCCTTTTTTAACTTCACTCTCTAGCTCCTTTTTTCATGTTTCTGGTTTTCCTTTATTTCTATGTCCCTGTGGGTTCCAGTGCAAAGACATTCTAGTTAAATTGTTCTCAGATTTTCTCAGTGTGTGTCCTATCCTACTCCAGCGTAGTTTCTTCACCTCTTATTTCACTGGAACTTGTTTAGTTCTCTCCCAGAGCTCTACGTTAGTGATTCTATCGTACCATTTAATTCCCTCTATTCTGCGCAGGCACCAGATAATGAATGTTTGTTGTTTATTAGTTTATTAGTAACTGCCTTAGTTGTTCTCAAAGATTCCACTCCATACAACAGTACTCATTTGATATCAAAATTAAAAAATTTAAGATTAGTATTAGTTTTAATTTCTTTTTACTTCCACAGATTCCCTAGTGCTGTGAAAGCCCCCCTCGCCTTTTGTTTTTATATTTTAATATCTCGATCAGTTCCCCCCTCTTTATCTACATCACTGCTCAGATAAGTGTACGACTCCATGTCTTCGAGTGGGATACCATTAAGAAAAACCACATTACTATCTGCATGATTTAATTTCATCATCTTTGTCTTTCCATTATAGATTTTCAGACCTAGCTGTTTTGATCTTGTATCAAACATATTTAGATTATCTTTCATATGACCGTGAGTGGGACAGAAGAGAAATATCAGCGAAGTCCAGATCATCAAGCTTTTTTTTTTGTAGGCGTCCACTGAATTTCATTCCTGGTGTTAGTAGCTGCTGTCTTCATAATCCATCCAGTCTGTTGGCAGAAAAAAATTAGGAGAGGTGACAAAAGATGTCCCTGTCGCATACCTGTCATAATCCATTCAGTCTGTTGGCAGAAAAAAATTAGGAGAGGTGACTAAAGACGTCCCTGTCGCACACCTGTTTTTATTTCAAATGTATCCGCTAGCTTTCCCTTATGATAAACTCAACATTTCATGCCTTTATATGTTGCCTTTACTAAGTTAATAATTTTATGTGAGATTCCTAAAGTGCCCCGTTAATTTTCATAGAGATTGCTTATCAATGCTGTCACATAGTCTATGAATACAATGTAAAGTGGTGAATTCAATTCAATGCTTTGCTCTATTATTATACATGATGTGGCTGTCTGGTCAGTACAGGATTTGTTTGGCTGAAAACCTGCATGTTCACCTCTTAGCTGTTTATCAGTAGCATCTTTTAGTCTTTCACAGGTATTCCTTAATATTTTTGGTGATCACAGACACATAATTCGGTATTGAAAAAGTTTTTTAAATCAGAACTTCTGGTGCACAGTACTCAGTATTGAAAGAAATATGACCCAGGACTAGTGCACTTGGATGGCATAAATTATTAATTGAAAGAGCTTTTATAATCTAGCATTGTTGCACTAAGATAAAATGAACTTATTATTGAAAGAACTTCACAAATCTAGGGTTGTTGCACTAAGCTAAAATTAACTCATTATTGAAAGCTCCACAATCTAGGGCTGCAGTACTAAGATCAGATTAATTAATTATTAAATGAGCTTCCATAATTTAGGGTTGTTGATTTGAGATTCATTACATCAGCCTTGAAAGAGATATAACCAAGGGTTAATTAATTTTGATACTATTAACTCAGTATCAAAAAAGCTTATATAATTTTTGGTTAGTGCCCTGAGACGATGACCAGGTACTCATAGCAAAAAGTACAAAATGCTTACAGAACCACCTAAATAAAATTAGTAACAAAGGGGAGGAATATAATATGAAAATAAACACTGCGAAGACAAAGACAATGGTGATAGGAAGACAGAAAGACAATTTATAAATAAAATTACAAAACAACACCTTAAGACAGACAGAAGAATTTATGTATTTGGGAGCAGTTTTCACATCCGACGGAAAACTGGACAGAGAAATTAGCTTGAGATGTACCAAAGCTAATCAAGTAATGGTCAGCTATCTCCCCTGTTGACAAGCAAATGCCCTGGAGTACTAAACTAAATCTTATCAGAATTATTTTTTGACCAACACTATGCTATCAGTGCAAAACGTTGACGCTTACGTCAAAAGCATTCGAAAATAGCACTACACTTCTGTAACCTGGATCTACACACCGGGTCTTGCGGGCGTGAAGGGAAATGAGCGAGCGGACCAAAAGGCAAGCACTGCACTAAGGATTGCAGGAAAAAGCTTGGACAAAGCAGATATCGTGAACGCTTTATGGACTGGGCTAGTGGATAATGAAGAATCCCTGACACTAACACAATTGCGTGACATGGGAGTAAAGCATGGTGAAGCACGTCTTTGCCGTCTTCGAGGCCGAGATAGGAGACAATATAACCAGCTTCTCATGGGAACAATTAGTAGAAGTACTTTGGAGTGGCTTCTGCATCAGAGGACTGAGCACACATGGGAATGGCCAATGTGCAGTGACGTTGATTGTGATAACATAACTTAACATAACATAACTTACATCTTCCAGTTAACGTAAAATTGTGACAACAGAGATGAAATGCCTTAGAAGAGCTGCAGGAGTTTCAAGGAAAGACAGAATACGAAATCATGAAATCAGGACGAATGCTAGGAATAAAGCCAGTCCTACAGGTCATCAAAGAACAACAAATGAAGTGGTCTGGACACCTAACAAGAATGCCCTGGTACTGTCTACCACAGCGAGCCACACTAAAACGTTACAACGGGTATAGAGCGAGTGGAAGACCTAGGAAAAATGGAGTGATGGCATTAAGAACAGCCTTACAGAAATGAACATCAGTCTTAATAGTGCTCTTGACAGAGCTCATCAACGAATGTTGCATCTCCCCCGACACTTCAATGAGGTACTGGGTGGAAGAGAAGAAGAAGAAGAACTGCCCTGAGATACCATTTACTCATTATTGCTGTTTATTTCACAGATCTGGCTTATTAGTGTGCAGACTTTTGGTTCCTTGCTTCTCAGGCAGACGTACTTTAGCTTTGAAGGATACCCCAATTAGTCAACCCTTACAACATGCTTGTTAGGGGGGCAGTGGGTCTGTTCTTGTTTTCCCCATAGTGAGGCCCTAGAATCCACATGGGGAATTTACATGTTCAGGAGTCTACTGTTAGTAGATGCACCATGGAAAAAAAAAGTCTTAAAAGAAACTAACTCACAAAAATAACTTATTATTATTATTATCAGAAGAAGACAGCCTACATTCTTTGGTCACATCACAAAAAGGGAAAAACTGGAGCAGGTCATGACAATGGAAAACTGGATAAGAAGAGAGACAGAGAGAGATCAAGAGAGAAGATGCTGAACACTTTAGCATCTTGGTATGGAAGGACCTCTGTCTTAAAAATGATAAACAGTACGCGAGAAAGAAGCCTGGAGACAGATATTATTACCAGTGCCATGTATCAGGTACTGTAAACAGATATGTGTGTGTGTGTACTTTTCGCAAATAACATTGCTTCGTGTCTGAATCAGGCCAGTGCCCGATGTGGAAGTGTTACGTGAAGAAGGATGATGTCACAGATCATCTTCTGCTGACATTTGTGCCTGCATGCTTTGATGATCTTCTGCTTTTGAACCCCTCTCCTGCTGAGGCATCTCCTGAAGAGGGCGATACTGGTGCTAGTAATTTTCCTGTGAGTATCGGTGGTGTGTGTGTCATTTAGATGTCTTCACCTTGTTGCGTGTGCTGTTTTAAGCCACGACATATGGTGAGATAGCTATTTCTCTTCTTTGTCACCCCTCCTTCCAAAACAAATGCTAGAAAATTATTTGTGTTTAGTGTGTTTCCTATTTTATTGCCTTACCTTTTGGAGTTCTGGGGCTTCTCTGGGGGAAACATAATCGACCCTCTACATCTTAACAAGTACCCAAAGTCCATCTCTTTTCTTTACACCCGCTCGCTCATTCTTCACTATAAGTGGTTGATCTTTTTCTTTTTCTTTTTCTTGTTCACCAGCTGTAAGCTCCAGTGGAAAGTCTTAGTTGCTAGTCCATTAATACTTTGATTTTGTGCCAGGGTCTGAGTTTTGCTTGTGTATCTGTTTTACTGGTTTATTTGCGTGCACTTAGTTATTCCTTGCTGCTCGAGCACATGCTCTCTGACTTCGAAAGAAAGCTTCACTTAGGCAACTCCTGTGACATGCTTGTTGGAGAGGCAGTGAGTCTGTTTTTGTTTTCCCCATATGGGGCTCCAGAACCCACATGGGAAAGGTGATTGATCAGTACATGTCAGCTCAAAAATGAACAAACACACCTTGCAGATGTCCTTTACAGAATTCAATACTCAACAGTTCATGATAATATTAAGTGCACATGAATAGCCATCTGCTGGTCTTCATTTGCATCACTGTGTGGAACACCCACAAGTCTGACTGCCACATTCTATTAGCTAAACAAGATGTACTCACAGCCTCAAGACCCTTGTCCTTCATTTATATGCGTCACATATGCTTATGCACGCCGCGGATCGGAAGGTCATGGGTTCGCTTCCTGGGGGAGCCGGACTTTTTCAAAAATGACCTTGACTCCCAGGTTGACCCAGCCTTGAGTGGGTACTGGGTGCAGTCCTGGGAAGTAAAGGCGTGATGCTGACCACATTACCCATCTTGTGCCGATTGGTCTATAAAATATAGGTCTAGCCCTATATCCCCTATACGCCTAAAGGCGTGGAAAAGGGCCTTTACTTGACTACTTTACTTACATATGCTTATAAAATCTTCGCTTAAAATATTATTCATCTATTCCTGCAATTCTTGTTTTGCTTTAAGTCGCTGTAGTTACCAATATTTAGTACAGTTTGTAGGTACTTGTATATACTTGCTTATCTTGTATTTCGGTATTAAAACAGGTAACCAGTAATAATGAGTATTGTGACTTTTTTAGAAGAAAAAAAAAATAATATATACAATACAGTAAACACCAAGTAAAATAATCTTTAAAGATACATTTTTTGTTTTGTTTTAATCTGTCTAGTCACCCAGTGAGGTTCCAGTGTCTGGGGACTTGCATAGAACTGGAGAGTTTGGTAGTGAAGGTAGGAAAACTAACATGTAAATTCAGTGTCTGTCATTTAATGTAAGATGTTTTAGAATGGATGAATGAACGAAGAATTGACATCACTCCACTGGGGATATTCCCACAGGTGCTCTGTCCCCTTCTTCAGTAACCACTGAAGAGCTGACATGCCACTAGTCCCAGCTGCGACCTGATTGAAAGTCCACCTCTGTTTCCCCTTCAGTGTTAAATATCTTCCAGAACCTCTACTCATCCCCAGTTGAATTAGTCTTTCACTGTATGGATTCCTTATCTGTACTTTTGCACTGTCCATTTGACCCCCATAAAGCCTTTACCACATCCCCTTTATCATGTAGTAGCTCACCGCCCAGAGAAGCAGCAGCAGGTAATCTATCAGCCGGCTTGTTACCTCGCACAGCTGAATGTCCTGGACAGAAAATCCATGATATGCTCTTGGCCGGGGTCTTAACAAGTGAAGCAAGCCACTCTGATGGCAGGACACCAGTTTCAGTTTTCCAAAGCATACTCTGGGAGTCTGTTACAATCACAACATGCCGGGCTATGCTGTTCTCAAGCCATCAGAAAGCTGCCATTACTGCCTCCATTATCATACTGGATTTAGTGACATTGTATACAAGGCTCGCTGTTTTCAAGCAGTTCCTAGTCACCTAAATCCATTCAGTGTCCATTCACAATAAAACGCTCCATTCACGATAAAACTCCACCCACTCTTCTGACCTCTCGCTACAGACCCATCTGTATATATTATATATATCTGTATTTATAATGATGTCACCTCGGCATGAATTTTCATTGATCAGCTCTGGCACAACTGACTCTGTTTCACTAGCTGTCAATTCCTGGTACCAAGGTAACTATCACTCTGTGCAAGTCTGTTCTGCTGGGCATCACTGTAACCCATTCTTCACCACATGCTGTCTTGTCAGTAGCACAAACAGTTCTGATCTTAACTTCTGCCTGTGCCATCCAAGAGCCACCTCTTTTCCGCTGTCCCTTGCTATCTCCTAAGGCCTCATGCAGAAGTGTCCCTTGTCCGTTGCGACTTTAAGGTACATTTTTGCCTGTAAAACCTTGTATTTGTCATATACGGATGGTAACACAGTTGCATGTACACAGTTGTTGTGTCTTGTTGTACACCCCAAAAATGCTCGCATGGCTTCATTCTGTATGCTTCCAACTTCTCTATTTGGGTATGAGATAATGTTAGCAGTCACAAACTATACTCCATCACCAATATGTTATAGATTTATTTGTCGTGTCCTAATTTTTGTAGTTTAATTGTTTCATATACATTGTGCATTTCTGTGAGAATCATCTAATGGTTTGAGGATGGTTTCATGCACAGACAGTGGATTGAATCACTGCAAACGTCCATCGTGGGCTGAGTTATTTTCATCTTTTTCTCAGGGCATGCAATTGTTGGTCCAGTAAAGGATCAGATAGACTGCCTGGCTCTGCGGTAGTTGTAGATGGCCTGCCTGTAAATTGCAGTGACATTGTTAAGACCATTAGAGAGGAAGATTAGAGGATTTTGGGGGCTGTGCATCCACATTACTGCTGTGAATGCAAGAATTGGGTATATTGGGTATACAGATTGGCACAACCAGGTGCACAAGGCACAAATCTTCTTGATTTTGAATCAAACAAAAAAATTAGATATTCACTGCAAATTGTAATTCATCGCACACAACTACGTACTCATGTGAACATATATTATAAATCACAGTATATCATCTTGTCATAATCCATGTCGTGAGGCATTGATTGTCTTTCTACAACTTTCTCTCTTGTATACTTTCAGTCATTTCTGACACTATAATCTTCCATGCTATGATGTCAAACTGTCCAACATCTTCTCTTGCTCAGTTTCCATCTATAGCTTTTTTCCTCTTTCTCACTGTTATGGTAGTTCATGATCTGACCAACAAATATAGATCATCTCCTTCTGATGTAGGCAATCACTTATCTTCATATGTCAGTTTTTTTTTTTCAAGACTCTTTTTAACTTGTCCATGGTGTTCTCACCATTCATTTTTAAAGCTACATGTCTTCTGCTTCCACATAATATTTCACTAATCAGCTATCTGTCATTGATTCACTTCCATATATCAAGATTGGAATTATATAGCTCTTAAGAATTCTCCTCTTCACCTTGTTTGACAAAGAAAGACTGATTAGAATATTCTTCATGTAAGGTAAATAATTCCTTGCACTATTATGACCTAATTTCAGTGAAAGATGAATCTGTAGCCATCACTGGTCTTCACAAAAGCTCACCACATGTCCAGTCAGATACTATGCCTACAGACTCTGTTTCTAAAGGAACAGCTACAATGAGCCTCACTACTAGTCTTCCAAACAGAGACAGTCGCAATGATAAGGTAATTTTTGTTTTAAGTGTTTAAACACTGATTATTTACTTTTCAGAGTAGCTTCATCTGCTGTGTTATTTTCTTTTCAAAGTACGTGGGAAAATATGTAAGTCACAGATAATTGTTTAAAAACAACAACAACAACAAACTTAAGACGATGACTCAAAAAGGTGTATTTTTACACAAACGCTGTTAATTTATTTTTCAACATAATATTCACCTACATTGATGCACATGTCCTATTGTTTGTTTTATCAGTCCTCCCAAACCTGCTGCGTAGAACTGTGTGCTGTGTTTTTTAAACTACATTTTCAATTCAAATTTAGCTTCTGGGTCACTTGCGAAATGTCTCCTGCGAAATGTCTCCTGCCAAGGTGGGTTTTCACGCTAAGGGCTAAGTTGGGGTTGTTAGTTGGATGTTCCAGAAGTTCCCACTCTAGATGGTTAATTTTCTGTTGAGTTAACAGAGCCATAGGTAGTCTTGCATTGTCATGAAGGAGCAGTACTCCTCTACTCAGCAGGCCTGGACATTTTCTTCGAATTGCACCATGAAGCATTGATAGAACTTTACATTATGAATCAGCATTCACATTGTCACCTCTTTACTGGATAAACGTTTGTCAGCATAAAATAGGAAGAGGAAGCATTTCTTTATGAATGTTCTTTGAGGGTACACTCCGTAACTAGACGCCATTTTGTTTCTATGTTATGAATGCGCATGCATGACCTAGTGCCACCTAATGAACGGAGGCATAGGCTCATGGGGAGAGACACTTAAAATTGGCACATCTTGCACTTGTTGGGCTTCTGGGTAGGAACCTATAAATGTATGATGCGTTCCTTGGACTGAAAGAGTTCAGAGGTCCAGGGTTGTTAGGACCATTTGGATATTTTCTTCAGGGTAATCAGGTGTGTTGGGAAATGAACAGGCAGATAAACTGGCTCTTTTACCACTCAGCGGTAAATGAATGCTTGACAAGCTAGATGTTGTCAAGGCCCTCTGAGAGCGAGTGAACAGTGCAGAGGCACAGTTAGATTTTTACAATCTGAAGAGAATGGGGCTGTAGGCAGTGACCAGGTATCTCGGCACTCCACCTTTAGAGGAAAGACAAGATGGACATACAATCTGACTACTACTGGCACCATCAGAGTTGGAACTCTTCGCTGGCTGCTGAAGATGAGGACATAACACATATGGGAATGCCTTGATTGCAGTGACGTCAGTTCTTGAAACTCAGCTCTATTTAGACTCCTTTATTTGTTGTATTGTTAGAAAAACCGAACATGATTTTTCACTCTATCTGGAAATGTTTTTCTGATCTTTATCATCTTCTAGGTTTGACTTTTTTTGTCACACGGGACTCACAGTTTATTCTTAGATTCTGTTCAGTCCTGTGCACTTCGTTTCAGCATCATAGATGGATTGTTCCGAGACTAGTTGTTTGTTCACCAGTTTTTTTTTAATGGGACAGTGAGGGGCATTTCATTTGATTTGCATCGACACAGGAACAAAGCAAGTATGGGGAAACCTGATTGCAGTGATGTTGAAACCCCGACTAAGACTAAGACGGAGTCCAGATAAGAACCCTTTGTCTCTATCCATAAAATTCATCTTAGGGTTGCTTTTTTGACATGCTAATTTTCCCAACGCATTTGTTTCCATTTAATGACCTGTTTAGTGTTCTCTGACCACAGTGTTCAGATCATCCTACTCTTGTATATTTACCAGGTCCAGGAGTGGGTCAACACCAGCACACATTCCATGAAGCCAGTCAACAGTGGTCCTCTGTTGATGCCTGTGTATGTATACAGCTGCCAGCTCAAGAATGTTATCAGCTCCCTGGTTGACAAGTATGTTTATCATTTTTTTTGCCATTTGAAGTTAGTTGCTAGGTGCAACAAGCTATTAAGTATGTTTACATAAAGCTGTGAAATGTGGATCTTAACAGTGGAACTCTAAAAGAAGAAACAAGCATTTTAAATGTGATTTCCCCGTGTGGGCTCGGGGGCCCCATTCTAGGGAAAACAAGAGTAGACCCACTGCCTCCACAGCAAGCATGTCATAAGAGTAAACTAATTGGGGGCTTCCTTTAAAGTCAGAGG